ACTACATATGAGTTTTTAGAAACAAGCCACTTCCTTATAACCAGCTTAGAGAAAAGATAAGAAGATGCCTTAAAATATGAATGTCTGAAACCTATCATCCTTTCTGCTCTGTTGAAAGGCTGCTGTGCCCAAGGCAATATCTAACATAGACATATACTTAGATGCAGGTACGGCTCCTTGCTTTAAAGTTGCAAAGAACTGCATTCTGTGAATACCAAAGCATTAGAAGTAATTATATGTGTCACACCTGATGAAGACATTTATGGGGCAATGACTTGACTAGAGTAGAATGCACTCTTTATTTTATAGCACTAGATCAGTGGTTCTCAACCTGTGGGTCAGGACCCCATTTGGGGTCGAATGACCATTTCACGGGGGTCGCCAAACAATGCAGTCCGCCATTTTTTCCCCCTTTTTCTTAGCTGTGCTACTCCCTTTTATTCTATTGGCTTTTGTCTCTGGCCTGCTGAGCCCGCCAAAAGTCCCATTCTGCAAATGGTGCTGCACCAGTTGAGTAGTCCTCGACTTACGACCAGTTGAGCAGTCCTCGACTTACGACCGGTTGGGGGGGTCGCGGCATTAAAAAGGTTGAGAACCACTGCACTAGATGTTCATGAGAATGTTGAGGAATAATGCCTGTTATGAAATATGAACTCCCAAGTATTGTTATACGGGAAGTTTAAATTTGGAATGGTCATCTTCCATCTGCTCACAAACACAGTATCTGTACTCTCAAATAAATACATTTTTAAATGTTCTATAGCAGAGCTGGAGAGCTATGGCCTCTTTATAATTTGTGGACTTCAACTCCCAGAATTCCTGAGCCAGCATGGCTGGCTCAGGAATTCTGGGAGTTGAAGTCCACAAGTCATAAAAGGGCCATAGCTCCCCACCCCTGTTCTATAGTAATTTGGTCTAAGTATCATTTTAAGCAGATGACAAATATATTTGGTATCTGAAATTTTGAACGTTAGAAGAGTCAGAAAGATTTAGGTTATCAATCAGAAGATGGTTTAAACATTTTTCAGAATTTCAGCTACTAGGTAACACTTTGAAGGGAGGTCATTATTCCCTTCTGTAGCAATATTTAACATAAGCAGGAACGAATTACATTGTATGACTGTAACACCACATTATTATGCAACAGTTTAAATTTAAATAAAATTAACATAAGCTCATTAGCATACAGCTTTTGCAATTCACAACAAAACCTATGAGTAATAACTAAATCCGGTCAAATAAACTGTAGCAGGAAGAGGAGTATAACTAATCAGACCAGAAAGATTTGTTTAGGGGATGTTCCTTCTGGGAGTTTATTAGCCTTCTGTGTCACTACTTCGACCAAACTTTTATTTGGCTCTGGATATTTGAATGACACTTTGATGGAAGCCCAGGTTTTCTATTGGTAAGTGAATTCTTTTGATATCTGTCTAACCTGATGAAAGCTTTTGGTTCTCCTTATTAAATACTATGCTATCTACCTTTATCTTTAGTAAAGGTGATCTGGTTAGTGTCTTCTTCTCTTATATGATTCCTGTTAAATTAACAAAAGTTTCAAATTCATCTGTTTTGATCTCACGGAAGGAAACTACTGTAAGGTATAATGGAAATATGTTGTGCTGATTTTTCACAGTATATATAAGGGGCAACAGCATATCTAGCAAGTCTCCATGCTACATGTTTTATCAGAATTTAAAGCTATTTAAAGTTAATTGTTTCGAATCAGTAGGACTTGTAGTTCTGGAAGGAAATAAATTGTGCTTTTTAACATCTCATTTTGACTCTCCACACAAAGATAAATTTTCAAGGATTCCAGCAATAATCAAAGGCCGTGCCCAGGTTCATGTGCCATATTTATTTGCTTTTGGTTTAGTATGTTGTGTGAACCCAGCCACTGTAACATATAAATCATGGCTAATGGTGTAGCATATTTACTGTGTATAAATCCAGCTAATTGAATATTATTCAGTGTACCATATTTAAGTAAAGAATGTCTTACTGTGACCCCCTGATTAAGCAAACTGTGGTTTATTAAATTGCAAACACAGCCAATCAAACCAAAGTGTTATAAAGGTAAATGAACCCCAAATCTTTAGGGGGTTGTAACTATTTCAAAGCAAAAGTGAAGGCGGTATTCTAGAACTCCTCACATCAGACATCAGTCAGTTTGATCCCTATTGTGACACACCTCTCAGCATCTCCAGTAAAACCTATGGTTTATCTCACTTCTATTTCATTATTATCTATTTTCTGGTCAGCCAACTGGGTTATAGCCAAACATTAAAGTCAAATCAATTAAATTAAACTGACAAGAGAGAGAGAGAGAAAAGTAGGAAAAATAATTTATTGGCGAGTTTTTGGGTGTGTGCATGCCTTTGAGTCACTGTAGACAAGTCTTTGCAGTTTTCTTGGCAAGATTGTACGGAAGCGGTTTGCCCTTGCCTCCTTCCCAGGGTTGAGGTAGAGTGTCTGGTCCAAAGTCACCCAGACAGCTTTGCCTAAGACAGGACTGGAATTCATGGTCTCCTGGTGAGAACACCCCCTGTTCTGCAAATAAATAGATCACTAGCCGATAAAGCATTTTGTAGCCTTGGGATCCTGGTATGTAAGTAATCAAATTAAGCAACTTGTTACCTGTAGGAGGCTGGCAGCAGCACTCAGCTTTCTCAATTAGCTGCCAGGAAGTGAATAGTCCAGAGTCCATCCCCAGTGGAATGGGCTCAGCAGGAAATCCCTTACTAACCATGAATGTTTGTTTGCTTGCAGACATTTTGTTACCAGATTTGCTAATATCTTTGAAGGGTTCTGGGACCTTACATCTTCATTGCTAACTAATCTGGTAGCAAAATGTCTGCAAGCAAACCACCAAGTTCAGAGAGCATCAAGGACTTCACAATTCAGCTCTGAGCTATTTATATGTAGTCTTCTATAGATGTCTTTATAACCTGAAAGGAGTATTTAGTTGCCATTGTTCTATGGCCTTCTGGAATGAAGAGGTCCTTGCCTTCTCTGTCATGGTGCTTGTCCTCTGGAATAAAATCTCTTCAGAGATCCATTTGTTCGTACCATGATGATATTCCAGAAGTCTTAGAAAACTTGGCTGTTCAACCCACATCTTAGGGTGCTTATGGTTGCCTTATCAGTTGTGATTCTGTCAGGGTGGTGTGTTTGTCCAGATGCATGGAAATTTCTTTTTATTGTTTTTTAGTTTTTTTAGGATTATTCCCCCCCCCAGTCATCTGGAATAGGGAGGCTTCTACTTCTTATAAATAAATACAGAACTGTTACCACTAGGTTTAAAACAGTGACATATTTAGCATTAGTTTGAACATTACTCATCACAGAATAAATGGAACCACAATGCTTTTCATATAATATCAACCTTAGATGCATATTAAATCTGCATATGCTCTATGGATGATGAGGATGTGTTTCTTTCATTGTAAACATGATACCATTATTTGATTCTACATGGAGTGTCAGTCCTTCTTTTTTGCAACAAAATAATTTCTTTTTTGAAAAAACAGAATTTGAATATATATACTGGACAAGGAACATAAAGAGAAACAACCCAAAATTTAGAAGGATTGTATATATTCCTTCTCTCAAGGAGAACTACAAAAATTAAAAATCTTTATTCAGTGTTTTTTATTTGGAAATGTATTTGATCAGTTGTAATAAATTATAAAAAGTGTGTTAATATTTCATACAATTAGTGACCCACTTTGAATAAAACTATCCCTAGTTTTTTAAAGCTTGTTATGTTTAATTTTTCAGACAAAGTTTTCCCACATTTTTAAATATCATGGGTCCAAATACATAATATATGTACCTCTGTTTCCTGGTGGTTTGCGATAACAAATTCAGTAGTTATCAACAAATTTAAGTCAATTTATTATGTTGCAGGAATGTCTTAGGAAAAGGGTCAATAAATCAATAACAGGATTTATTATCTGTTAGCAATCCTGAGGTTATATTAATCATTTTAAAAAGAGTTATCATTTTTAAAAGGTAGTCAGATTTATTATTTAAAAGATGATCAAATTTATCATTTTTGAAAAAGTTATCACTTTTAAAATGTGGACAGATTAATTATTTTTAAAAGGTGATTCCTGATTTCCCATATGATAGTTGTGCTAGACCTCTGTTTAGATGCAAGTCAATATTTAGCCTCAGCCAGACATAATGAACAATATTATATGAAACAGAATGAATGTGTTGATCTGGGTATTCAGGTTTGCTCACAACACCCAGCACTATCTCTGTTCTTCCTCTAAAACACATGAGATGCAAGGTCTGGATTCATGGGTTCAATCAAGACTAATTGAGTAAAATTCAGAGAAGCCCTAGATGATGTTGCTGATTTCAAAAATGAAACAAGATTGTAAACTGCCCAGAGTTGCCTTATCAGAGAGATGGAAATAAAGTCTTTCTTTCTTTCTTTCTTTCTTTCTTTCTTTCTTTCTTTCTTTCTTTCTTTCTTTCTTTCTCTCTCTCTCTCTCTTTCTCTCTCTCTCTCTCTTTCTCTTTCTTTCTTTCTTTCTTTCTTTCTTTCTTTCTTTCTCTCTTTCTTTCTTTTTCTTTCTTTTTTTCCTTCTTTCTTTCTTTCCTTCCTTCCTTCCTCCCACTTTTATTATTTTTTATAAATCATACCAATATAAATGTGAAGAGAAACTGGCTTGTGTGTTTAATTGTGTGCTTGTCCTCAGATCTGAATTGTAACTGGTGAACAATGGCAGGGAACTTCAGCCTTACCTATCTTTCCTGCAATTGGTCTGTTAAGGTCTGTTCTTCCAGCCCAATCCCATTATAGAAGACTGGAGAATGCCAAGTTCACAACAGCTGTTCCAACTTATTTCTGATACTTTATGATAATTCTTCACACATGAGTACTGGTAGAGAGAAAGCTACTAAAGAATTAACTCAAATGTGCTATGAATGTTTAAAAAGATAAAAATGGTCCCAGCATGTTACAAATTTGGTTCTGGTTCCTTCCTTAGGAATTAGCATCTTCCTGCATCCTGGAAAAGTGACTAAGGTCCAAAAATCCTCTGGGCAAAGGTGAGCATTGACACTATTAAATAAGATCCGGTTCTGAAATTTTGTTTTTCTTAATCAGAAATAACTGCCTTCAAAGATCAGAAAAGAAGTGAATAGATCCAAGCTAACTATAACTGAAAACTATATTTTAAAAGGCCATCATTTGTCTTGACAGGAAAGTGAAAGTGTAACTATTGTTTTCCTTTCAATCTCAATCCACATTCATTTCCATGTGGCCTGCATCATAGGTCGTGCATTGGGACTGCTCTTCATGGTAGGAGTCAGGTGGCCTGGAACAACATTTCAAACAACATCCATAACTTGGTTGTGACTTGCTGCACTCCACCCACCCCGCCCCATATTTGCTTTATGATTGATACTCTGACACAGAAAAATACACACCCACTTCTTATAGCTCCAACAAGGATTATTCACTAGCTCTCTATACGTCTTTCATACAGAGTTTAAGAGTTTAGAGTTTTAAAGAGTTTGCCTTTAAACAACAAGGCCAACAGGTTATTCCCATAACATACGAGAATTTACACAATAGCATTGCTAGTTAATTTGCTTATTCAGCTGTTGCAGATTTTCTTTTGGAAGTTTTTGCTTCACGCTCATAGGTTTTCACTTGAAAATACTGCCCCTCTATAATTAAATAAATTCATACACAACTTATTTCGCACAATGAATATTTCCTATCACATAGAATGAAAATAGATCATTTGGAAAAAATCTAATGCATTAGTTATGGTCAATCTCATGAACGGGATTCCTTCATAGGACTGTCCGAAGAATGTCTAAAAGCATTTTCAGTTCATACACGCTCAAATAACTTTGCACGCAATATGAACTTTACTGATTTAATTGGATCTTGTTCCCAGATAAGTAGGAATGTAGTCTTCATTGATAGCCTATTGACTTTCTACATGCAAAAGCAATTATACAGATAGTCCTCAATTTATGACTACAATTGAGCCCCAAATTTTTGTTGCTAAGTGAAACATATGTTAAGTGAATTTTGCCCCATTTTATGACTTTTCTTGCCACAGTTGTTAAGTGAATCACTGCAGTTGTTAAATTAGTAACACGGTTGTTAAGTGAGTCTGGCTCCCTTATTGACTTTGCTTGTCAGACCCCAGGACACTGCAACTGTCATAAATATGAGTCAATTGCCAAGTGTCTGAATTTTGGTCACGTGACTATGGGGATATTGCAATGGTGGTAAGTGTGAAAAATGATCATAAGTCACCTTTTTCAGTGTCATTGTAACTTTGAATGGTCACTAAATGAACTGTTGTAAGTTGAGAACTCCCTGTATAAGGAAAAAGAAGTCAGAATAGTCTAAATTCTTAACATAAGAGCACATGTAACCCAAATCCCTAATCCGTGCTTCAGTGTAGCTTCATGTGGCACTAAAGAACACAACAGAATTCTTGTCCTTAAAAAAATCAAATGCAAGACTATTGTGCTGTATTGCTGTTAAGGGGAATGAAAAAGAACTAAGGAGTTAAGCTGTTTTGTACAATCTCTTTCTGTCTTTATACCACAACAATGAATATTTCAGATTCTGCGGCTTCACCTCAAAAAGCAGCACAGCAAGGTAACACAAACCGAGTTATTAGCAACTGGTTTGGGAACAAATAGAACTGTTTATGTTTTTGAATTAACCATCCGCCAGTGCAATTACACACATTCCTTAAATATTCGTACAAAGATAGGCAGACCAGATAGTAGGCAGACTTTATATACTGAGTGCCTGGTTTTGCTAAAATGAACACTTCCAAAAAGCAGACACCCATTTTGTTTCAGCATTTTCTTCCACAAGCATTTGGAGGGAAAAGCTATTTTAAACCATAGCTTGAGTTAGGTTGCTATGATAATAGCTTCACACCCCACTGGAATTCTAAATTTAGACATTCCTGAATTGCATATAAATATTTGGATGTAAATCACTCTCTGGACAGATCAACATTTAAATGAATGAAACAGTCACATGAAACATTACTTTTATATTCTGCGATGCCAGCAGTATTACAAATCTGCAGGTCCAATCTAAGTATAAGCGAGTTCAGTAATCTGTAGATTCTGCAGTAAACAGTAAATGAGTGAAACCAACGGCTGTGGTTTTATTGCACTGATGTCCATTTTTGTAGACTCTAAAAATTACAGAGTGGCAACATAAGGCTCAAAGCCTTGAGTCCAATACCCAGAACCCTTCCAAAAATGTAATTTTAATGTAACAAAGGAAGAAAAAGGTAAAGTATACATTCATATGAATTGCATTTCCTTATTAAAATTTAAAATGGCCTTCTTCGTCTGTGGTCTGAGGAAGGTTGTGCACCCACTGCTTAGGTATCTCCTAAGTCAGTGATGGCGAACCTTTTAGAGACCGAGTGCCCAAATTGCAACCCAAAACCCACTTATGCATCGTCGGGTACCGGGTGGGTGTGGCCCATTGGCTGGGTGTGGCCCATTGGCTGGGCGTGGCTGTGGTGGTAACGGCAGACTGGTGGGACTAAAAAGTTCAATCAATCAATTCCAACTTTGCAAGATTTTTTTTTCCCGCAAGAAGTTGAAATTGACTGCTTGATTGAACTTTTTTTTTTTTTTTTGCACACAGCGGCAGAGGCCTAAAGCAAAAAGGTTTTATAAAACCTAGCTGAAGGCCTAGGACTGGGGCAACGGAGCGCGTGCCCACAGAGAGGGCTCTGAGTGCCGCCTCTGGCACCCATGCCAAAGGTTCGCCACCACTGTCCTAAGTTATTCAAGATGCAAAGCCCTGAAAAAATAGCCAACCTCAGCAAGAAACCAGAGGAATGTTATTAATATTTGGTCAAGCCTATTGCTGACAGCTATTGCAGGTATGTAAAACTGCACATCTTCCATCTTGCTTCATGATAAGTAAATTCTTAAAGATATTTTTTTCTTTTCATCATTTCAAAGGCGGGAAACAAAAACGGAATAAAAAAGCAGAAATGCAAGAAGAAAGTGAAGATAAAAGTTCTTTAGGGGAGTTAACAGAGAGTCCACAACAAGGTAAAATACGTAATAACAGAGTTGAAAGGGACCTTGGAGATCTTCTAGCCCAACCCCCCCGCTCAAGCAGGAGACCCTATAGTATTCTGGACAAATAACTGTCCTTTTAAAAACCTCCAGTGATAAAATAAACTGGTTCTTATGTTTATATTACCAGGATTGAGGCCTCAGAGGCCTAGTGGGCATTCTTAGCTCATAAATTGTGGAGAAGATTTCAGATGTGGGGGGGGGGGAGGTACAAGGAAATAGACTCATTCAAACTCATGCTCGTCTCTTTTTCTGCTTTTCCCAGAGGGCAGAACCAGGGGAAAGAAAAGTGACACAAACTTCCTTCCTCATGATGTCAAATCAGTAAATGGCTCCCTGCAGATGGAACACAGCAATTTTTCAGTAGTGTCATTTAGAGTCTAAGTTTAAGTCTAAGTTAAAATCTAAGTCTGAGCCTCCTTCATATGAACATCAAAGGGTGTGAGCAGCAAGACTGAAAAGATGGAAAAGCAACAGTGGATTCTTCCCTTTTGAGCAATATATTGTGGGTTACTGGTTTCCTGCTGTGACTAAGCACAGAAAAAACAGTCTGTACCTTTTCAGGCAGTTGACTGTGTAGAAAAGTGGGTGCCCATGATTTCAGCGCAGGGAATGTGTGTGTGTGTGTGTGTGTGTGTGTGTGTGTGTGTGTGTGTGTGCAGATACAGGAAGTCCTCCACTTATGTTCCCAATCGAGCCCAGCATTTCTGTTGCTAAGCAAGGCAGTTGTTAAGTGAGTTGTGCCTCGTTTTATGATCTTTTTCCCACGGTTGTTAAATGAATCATTGGAGTTGTTAAGGGAATCTGGCTTCCCTCATTGACTTTACTTGTTGGAAGCCACTGGGAAGGTTATAAATGGTGATCATATGACCCCGGGACTGTCATAAATACATGCCAGTTGCCAAGTGAAGTGCCTGAATTTTAATCATGTGACCAGGAGGATGCTGCAGCAGTTGTAAGTGTGAAAAACGCCATAGGTCACTTTTTTCAGTGCTGTTGTAACTTTGAACAGTCACCAAATGAATGGCTGTAAGTCAAGGACTACCTGTGCAACATGCATATTCACACACACGTACATATACCATTTCTGAAATGGGCAGAAAGGTCTAATACCCGCATAAGCTCATCACTGTATGGGAACCGTCTCAAATATGCTTGCAAGCAGTCGTTGAAAAAGAGTGCTAGAATTCCCATCTCTTTCTGCATGACCCAGCCCCTATTCCCTCTTTCCCATCCCAGAAGCTGGCCCTCGGTAGCTCTTCAGAAGGATAAATCTTTTTTTTTTTTTTTGCAAGTCCAGATGGTTGCTGCGCTCATAAAATCATTTTTCTTTGTTTTCAAATCAGCCTTTTTCCTAGAAAGCAATTTCACAAATAGGCTGCAGTCCTCTGAAAACAGGCCAGATTTTTTCCCCCTTGTCATCACGTTTTGAAGATTCGAGAAAACTGAAGAGTAAAATAACAACAGCGAAGGATGACTGGAATAATACAGCTTCCTTCCTTCCATGAAAATCTTTCTGTTACTTCTCAAATTCTCCTTGTTTGAAAAATCTCCATGTTTTAATCCCAGCATGAGCTGGAGCAATTTTGAACAAACATGTATTAATTTGTCAATTTTGTATATTTTTGTCATTTTAGATCTGTCCAGTGAAATTATTCCATACTCTGAAACAGGTATGAGGCTCACATCAAAAGCTTTGCTTTTTGTTATAGAATCTGAAGGCTTCTAAGTAAGGCCAAAGAGTCGGTGGTGTAGTGGTTAAGACATCAGGCCATGAGTTCTAGTCCTGACTTGGGCATGGAGATCTTGGGCCAGTCACTTTCTCTCAGCCCTAAGAAGGAGGCAATGACAGACCACTTCTGAAAAACTTTGCCAAGAAAACTGCAGTAACTCTGAAAAGCAGACATGATTGAACGGAAGAAGAAAAAAAACACAGCCCAATCCTTTCCCCTCCTCTCTGCCACTTTGGCCTTGCCCATTTTCATGCATCTCCCATCTCCTCCTGACCTGTTTGGCATGTTGAGAGACCAAGAGAACAAATGAAGTCATTTGGAAGTAAATTCTCTTGGCTTCCCCGATTCCCTGCTCCCTCTGCCCTGTGCAATAAGCAAGTAGCAAAACAAGCTGGAAGAGCAGTACAGCCAGGAAACTCAAAGGTTCAGCAGTGGATCTCCTGCAGGGGTGCAGCTCCGGAAAGGTGCTCAGTGCAACTTTGCCCCAACCTTCTAGAAGTACTGGACTACAATTATTCATTAAATTAAGGTCATTAATTTTGTTTCAGTTAAGCTTTTTATTTTTATTTTTTTAAAATTTTAAAATTTTTTATTTTAGACCAACAAAACAAAACAAAACACAACAAACATTATACACATACACACGTAATATATCCTTTTTTGTTAATAGCAGTTTGTAACAGTACTCTTCTATTCTTTACATTTCCCCCCTCTTTCTTCTTTGAAATATTTGTCCTTATTGCCCCATTGTTTCTTATTTACATTTTCCTTCTTTCATATTCTACAACTTACTAGGAATCCAACATTATTCATTGTAGTAACACTCATATTTTTTATAAAACTTGACCGGAATTCCATCTAAGCATGGTGATCATACAAATATTCTCATATTATTTAGTGCATATACTGTTTTTACTCTAATACTATTTCCAACATTAAAATTCACCCCTTTTATTCACCCCAAGTATATTTATTTAATTTTATTTTTCTTTGACATATATAATAATTCCTCCTTTCCTTTCCTTTCTTGTTTTATGCTAATATTGTGTATAATGTTTCTAAATTTTACTTTCTCTAGTAATTTTCTATAATCCTGTTTTATGTACACTTCCTAAAGATTCATCACATCTACATCCAATTTCCTTAAATTGTTAAACGTCTAAACTCTTTTTCTTGATATATTTAATCCATTAATATTTATAGAAAAGAGCTTAATTACGTCTCCCATTTTTAACTTGATCTATTTTTTTGTTTTTATTTTGTTTTATACTTCTTGTCTCTATAAGTCTTCCTTTTGCTTCTCTTTCTAACCTTTCTCTTTCTTGTAACTTTTGTATTTCTCGCTCTCAATCAGCTTCCTCTAATAGATCTTCATCATAACTTTTACTCTCCGGCTCTTCCCTACTTTCTTGTTCTTCTCCTTGTGAAAAGTAACTCTCATAAAAGTCCTGTGCTTTCTCAAGTGTATCTATCTTGTATTTTTTCTCCTGCCAAGTTAAAAGTATGCCTTCAGGTATTAACCAACGAATCTTGACTTTATATTTAATTAATTGAGTCGTTAAAAATTGGTATTCTCGTCTCTGATTTCATATACTACGTGGTATTTGTTTTAATACAATTATTTCTTTACCCTTATACATTATTAATTCGTCTCTTGTTTTTTTATATATTTCATCCTTTATTGATCTTCTAATAAACCTTATATGAACCTCTCTCGCCAATCTATGCCTTCGTGCATAATTTGTGTATACTCTATATGTTTCATCCATGTCTCTTTTTACTTCCAATTTTCTTTGCCTAAAATCACTGCCAAAATCTCTGCCATCTTTTCTCCCAAATCTTCCTCCTTTTCCTCAACAATATTTTGAAATCTTAAACAAAACGAAGCTTTGTTCATTTCCAGAAAAGCAATAGATTCAGTCAACTCCCTATTTACCTGCTCAGATTTCTGTATCATCCCTTCTATTTTACTATCAACAAGCTTCATTTTTGTTTCAACTTTTTGAATTCTTTGTTCATTTTCCATCATTGTTTGTTGTATATTACCTAACTTATCATTCATATTTTTAATTTCATCTCTCATTTTTCCAATATCATTCTTAAATATGCTTGCAAGCAGTCATTGAAAAAGAGTGCTAGAATTCCCATCTCTTTCTGCATGACCCAGCCCCCTATTCCCTTTTTCCCATCCCAGAATCTGGCCCTCGGTAGCTCTTCAGAAGGATAAATCTTTTTTTTTTTTTGCAAGTCCAGATGGTTGCTGCGCTCATAAAATCATTTTTCTTTGTTTTCAAATCAGCCTTTTTCCTAGAAAGCAATTTCACAAATAGGCTGCAGTCCTCTGAAAACAGGCCAGATTTTTTCCCCCTTGTCATCACGTTTTGAAGATTCGTGAAAACTGAAGAGTAAAATAACAACAGCGAAGGATGACTGGAATAATACAGCTTCCTTCCTTCCTATGAAAATCTTTCTGTTACTTCTCAAATTCTCCTTGTTTGAAAAATCTCCATGTTTTAATCCCAGCATGAGCTGGAGCAATTTTGAACAAACATGCATTAATTTGTCAATTTTGTATATTTTTGTCATTTTAGATCTGTCCAGTGAAATTATTCCATACTCTGAAACAGGTATGAGGCTCACATCAAAAGCTCTGCTTTTTGTTATAGAATCTGAGGGCTTCTAAGTAAGCCCAAAGAGTCGGTGGTGTAGTGGTTAAGACATCAGGCCGTGAGTTCTAGTCTTGGCTTGGGCATGGAGATCTTGGGCCAGTCACTTTCTCTCAGCCCTAAGAAGGAGGCAATGACAGACCACTTCTGAAAAACTTTGCCAAGAAACTGCAGTAACCTTGAAAAGCAGACATGATTGAATGGAAGAAAAAAAAAACACAGCCCAATCCTTTCCCCTCCTCTCTGCCACTTTGGCCTTGCCCATTTTCATGCATCTCCCATCTCCTCCTGACCTATGTGGCATGTTGAGAGACCAAGAGAACAAATGAAGTCATTTGGAAGTAAATTCTCTTGGCTTCCCCGATTCCCTGCTCCCTCTGCCCTGTGCAATAAGCAAGTAGCAAAACAAGCTGGAAGAGCAGTACAGCCAGGAAACTCAAAGGTTCAGCAGTGGATCTCCTGCAGGGGTGCAGCTCTGGAAAGGTGCTCAGTGCAACTTTGCCCCAACCTTCTAGAAGTACTGGACTACAATTATTCATTAAATTAAGGTCATTAATTTTGTTTCAGTTAAGCTTTTTTATATAAATTTTTCAAGTCTGTCATTGCTCCCTGTAGTACAGTTCTTAGGGTATTGTGAGGTTAGTTGTTTGGTTGGAGACGTTTCATTATCAGACTAGATAACATCATCAGTGTTAATGAGGGTGGGGTTTGCTGTCTATTTCAGCTATCCATGTTGATCTGTTGCAGACCATAGTAATTTCTCCAGATCTTTCTTTATTACTTATTTATACAAAAAAAATTAATATGGCCTTACTTCAAATAGCTCAAGGCAGCTGAGAGAACTACCATTTTGTGCTCCTCAGCTCTATTGTAACAAACATGATTTGCATAAATGAGTCCTTTTTTGAACAAAGAAATGCCTTTTTAAAATGCAAACTTGTTATTCATCAGAAAATACAAGGACAGAAGGAACACCTGCAGTTGGTAAATATAACTGTTTAAAATTCTGTATGTTTTCTTCTGCACGATATGTATGTTTCATTTGTATCATATGTTAGTTGTTTGTCTAAGATATGCAAAACCTAAGCCCCCTTGGCTGGTAGTTTCTCATCAGAAGGGACATCATTTTTGAAAAAACAAAAATATTGTATGTATCTCAAATACTGGCTCTTTTGAAGGAACCGTTGATGGGACAAATTCTCTGATTTACCTTCTCTGTGCAGGGATAGGAAATCTAGAAGTTTGTTCTTAATGCTGTTCATCCAGTCAGCCAGGGGAGCGCTATGCATCCTCCTGATGTATAGGAAGAGAAAGAGCCTGTACAGTAATTGATAGATGCCACTAGAAGGGTTCAGTTGCTGCCTTCACTTCACTGGCATCTGAAATTCCTAACAATAGTTCTTCTCCTTGTATTAGAAAGTCCAGGGAACTTTATCGAGCCTACTTGATAAAGGCAGCATCTTTAATATAATGCTTGAGGGTAAACAGATTTTTGACAGCTTCAGTGCCTTAACTGAGGGTTTTTGGGGGGTGCCATACCATACATTTTAATTCAAATTTCATTTCCCACAGTATGTGAAGAAGGTATTTGTCAGACAATCCAGCACCCAAGATGGTGGATTCCAAGGATTCGGAAAGATGGTAAGAATATAACTGATCACAGACTTAAATCACAAATTCTTCTCTCTATGAGGCAAGGCATAAGCCCTGATGTTTAGATTTCTATCCTAGACTGGCATAACTAAATAAAAAAATAACATCAATATCTTGTATTTTCCCTATACACAACATTAATGAAGATAAGGTGCAAATCATATACATGCAAAGCTTTCAGCAGTTCTATTTCTTTTATTAATAAAATTTTATACAGCTGCCCATCTCACTAAAAACAACTCTGGGCAGCACACAGGAATGAGATAAAAAGAACAATGTTAAAAATCACAAATGTAAAAATCCATATCAATAAATATCACAGAAAACCAAAGATACAAATCCTAGGCAACCAAAGGAATAAAAATGGCTACCTCAACAATAGAAATCAAATCTGATGAAATGATAATGAATAATGAAAATAATAATGAAAACAATGATAATAATGATAATGATGATAATGATAATGATAATGATAATGATAATGATAATAATAATAATAATAATAATAATAATAATAATAATGTTGGAAGGGACATTGGAGGTCTTTTAGTCCAATCTCCTGCTCAGGCAGGAAACCCTATACCAGTGATGGCGAACCTTTTAGAGACCGAGTGCCCAAACTGCAACCCAAAACCCACATATGCATCGTCGGGTGTCGGGTGGGTGTGGCCCATTGGCTGGGCGTGGCCCATTGGCTGGGCGTGGCCCATTGGCTGGGTGTGGCTGCGGTGGTAATGGCAGACTGGGTGGGACTAAAAAGTTCAATCAATCAATTCCAACTTTGCAAGATCTTTTTTTTCCCCGTGAGAAGTTGAAATTGACTGATTGATTGAACCTTCTTTTTTTGCACATGGCAGTGGAGGCCTAAAGCAAAAAGGTTTTATAAAACCCAGCTGAATGCCTAGGACTGGGGCAATGGCGCACGTGCCTACAGAGAGGGCATTGAGTGCCGCCTCTGGCACCTTTGCCATAGGTTTGCCACCACTGCCCTATACCATTTCAGACAAATGACTGTCCAGTCTCTTCTTTAAAACTTCCAGTTTTGGAGCATTCACAACTTCTGGATGCAGGTTGTTCCAATGATTAATTGTTCTAATTGTCAGGAAATTTCTTCTTAGTTCTAGGTTGCTTCTCTCCTTGATTAGTTTCCATCCGTTGCTTCTTGTCCTGCCTTCAGGCACTTTGGAAAATAGCTTGACTCCCTCTTCTTTGTGGCAACCCTGGAGATATTGGAACACGGGTATCATGTCACCCCTCGTCCTTCTCTTCATTAACTTAGACATACCCAATTCCAACAACCGTTCTTTATGTGTTTTAGCCTCCAGTCCCCTAATCATCTTTGTTGCTCTTCTCTGTACTCTTTCCAGAGTCTCAACATCTTTTTTACATTGTGGTGAACATAAACAAATCTTCAGTAATGTTCAGAATATCAAAAGGGATGGGGCCAGTGGTGGGATTCAGCCGGTTCGCACCAGTTCAGCAGAATCGGTAGCTAATTTTTTCTTGCCCAGGTTCAGAATGGACTTCTGGAAATGGCATCCACACAAAGAACCGGTTGTTCACATATTTGAATTCCATCACTGGATGGGGCCAATCTAATTGGGAGGGGGGAACGGAAAGGATGTTCCATAAGACAGACACCACAGCAGAGAAGGCACATTCCTAGTGACCTATCAAATATTGGTCTCTCGCCAGTGGAACCCACAACTCGCCTGCTCTGCCAGATTTAATGGAGCAGTCTGGTATAACCAGGCAGTCCCTCAAACTGATCATCAAGTATCATATTTTTAATATATTTACAGCTCAGGCTACCTACTAGTGTGTAAACAGAATATACTCCCTTCTCCCACAATTTATAATCTTGAGAACTTCACTCAAGTTCTCTGCTTAATGTACATGGGGAAGTATTTTCCTTATTGACTCTGGGTGAAGTTAGTTAACCTACTTAACTGCTGTTTAAGTTATAAAAATATTCATATTATGCATATATATGTATGTGTGTGTATGAGTGTGTGTGGTATATTTATGTGTATGCATATGTATACACACGCAAACGCACAAACTGTATGTTCACATACAACTTCCAATATTAGACTTTTATTTTCATGGAAATATATGAAATTACAGCCATTAAATTAGAGCCTTGAATATTTTCTTATTTTTTTCAGATGAATTCTTCCATTTTATCATTATTTGTTTTGCTGTTGGAATGTTATTAGTCTGCTATTATAAATATAACGGTAAGTGAATATTACAATATATTGATTTCACATGGCGAAAAAGAGAACAAAATATAATCTCATTCTTTCTTTCTGTAGACTGGACAGTTTCCACTGGAATTGGCTTGATGACCTTCGCAGCCCTAGAAACAACAGGAATATATTTTGGCCTTGGTGAGTGTTTCATCTGAATTGTTTTATGCAGTAGTAAATCAAGCTGCCTTATATTCTTAATTTAAGATATCACTGTGACAGAAACAGCAATTCTTCAATATCTCAAACTGTAATGGTCTGATAAGTTAATTACCTACTTGGTCGCTTTCTGACAGCGGATTCTTGTTTCTTTTCTACTAGTGCACCGCATTCGAAGTATCCTGGAATCTTTCATCCCCCTTATTCAAAGAATCAGAATGCCTGGTAATTCTATTCTTTTATTGTTCCTTTTTGAAACCCTATACAACTTTCAAGGTCATACTGAGAAAAAAGGTTTCCACTGACAGGGATTCTCATTTTGTATAAACCAAATATGACTTGTTTGGATTGGATATATCTCATTTGTAAAGAAAGAACGCCATTCTTTATAAACTGCTTTATAAACCATGCTTTATGTTTAGCTGCTTGTGCAAATCATAGAACATAGACTAATAGGGTTGGAAGGGACCTTGGTGGTCTTCTAATCCAGGGGTCCCTAACTCCAGGTCCACGGACCAGGACCGGTCCACAGACTGTTGGAAACCGGGTTGTGTAAGCGGTGGATGAGCAGTGAAGCTTTATTTGTATATGCGTGGGATTAGGTTGTATGCACTAAACCATCCCCTCCCCCTTGCCCGCCGTCACTGCCTCCACTGCTGCCAGTCTGTGGAGCCAGAAAGGAGGGGGACCTCTGTTCCTAGTCCACCCCCCTGCTCAAACCCTATATATCATTCCAGACAAATGGTTGTCCAGTCTCTTCTTGAAAGCCTCCAGTGATGGAGCACCCACAATTTCTGAAGACCAGCCATTCCACTGATTCATTGTTCTCCCTGTCAAGAAATTTCTCCTAAGTTGGATCTCTCCTTAATGACCTTCCACCCATTACTTCTTGCCCTGCCCTCTATGCTTTGGAAAATAGATCCACCCCTTATCGTCTGTGACAATCCCTCAAGAACTGGGAGACTGTTATCATGTTCCTCATAATCCTCTTCAATATACTAGAGACATACTGTACCTAACTCCCTCAACGTTTGTCATAGGATTTAGTTTCCAGACCCTTTACTAGATTTGATGCTCTTCTCTGCACTCTTTTCAAGGACTCAGCTCTTTTTATATCATTGTGACCAGAACTGGATCCAACAAGGTTTATTCCATAATCTCTGACTACACAAAACTCAGTTTAGAGCATCACAAACCCCATCTAAATGAAATGATTATTAAATGTATATTTAAATGTTCATCTTGGCTGCATTTTTACAAAGATATATTAATAAGTAATTAAAAACTAATCTTTGTGATATCTTTTTCTTTGTTTTTGTTTCATAGGGTTCAAAAAGCTTAACTAAGCCAGAAATCTCAAGAGCACTGAAATTATCCTGTTTGGTTTCATGACTGCAGGAACAAATGTAACAATGTGAAAACAATATAAATGTCTGGACTAAAGAATTGAGGTCCTAGGAGTGGAGCTGGTAAGATGGGATGAAGAGCTTGGGCCATCCAAACACAGCACAGATGCCATCAACAGCTCCACAACAGCCCGAAGGGAAATGGCTTTCAAGCTGTCCTTTGCAAGGAAAGGGCTGGAGAAATCAACTCAGGATTTAAACCTGAGAACATATGATATAGCTAGACTTTCAGGCTCTTTAGAAGCTGTTTTTATCATTATTAGAGATGCTGGTACTGCAATAAAGTTACTTAACTATCCAAGGCTTCTCCTTAAATTTTAGGACTTTGTGTCTGTGTTACCAGAGAGGGATTTATTGTGACGCAGCTCTTTCAGAGTTCCAATGTCTATTCTCTTCCCTTGATGAGGCTCGGAACAACACGATACTGCCAAAGAGTGGTAACATTTATCTAATAACAACGACAATTCTTTATTAGTATTAGCCTTAGTATAGGTCAGGGGTCTGCAACCTTGATAACTTTGTGGACTTCAGCTCCCAGAATTCCTCAGCCAGAATAGCTGGCCCCTGGTATAGATAGTCCTTTCTTAAGAACTCCCCTGTTTAGCAACCATTCAAATTATGTCAGTGTTGAAAAAAATATCAAATGAAAGTAACAGGAAGTCAGAAGTTGTGAACATGTGAGAACCTATCTGATTTTCATTTGATGACAATAACTGAGGATTGTTAAGTGAATCGTGCAGCTGTTAAGCAAATCTGGCTTTCCCCCATTGATTTTGTTTGTTGGAAGCCAGCTGGGAAGATCGCAAAGAGCAATCAGATGGCCCCAGGATGCTGCAACTGTCAATTGCCAAGTGCCTGATGTTTGATTGTGGGACTGGGAGGATGCTGCAGTGGTTGAAAAGTGGCCAGTGGTGGGATTCAAATACCTGAACAAACAGTTCTATTATGTGATGTAGGCCTGGGCCTCCGGTGCCTAGAATGGACTTCCGGAAGTAGTATCATGCACTTCCGGTGGGCTGTTCTAGGCCTGGGAGGCCTCCTTCAGGCCTCCAATACCTAGAACAGACTTCTGGAAGTGGCATCAATGCACTTCCAGTGGGCCGTTCTAGGCCTGGGAGGTCTCCTCAAGACCTCCGATGCCTAGAACGGACTTCTGGAAGTGGTATCTATGCACCTTCAGTGCACTTCTGGACTTCCAGAAGCAAGCCGGTTCTCCGAATTCAGATAAATTTAGCTATCCGTTCTCCCGAACTGGTGTGAACTGGCTGAATCCCATCACTGGGACTGGCCATAAATCACTTTTTTTTCAATGTGCCATTGTAACTTCTAATGGTTGCTAAACCGAATCATTGTAAGTCAACAACTATCCGCACCTTTCTTTTACTGCACTTGTCTCCAACATGAAAAGCACTTGAAGGAGAAACTAAGGATGAAATTATTGAGCTTATTATTCCTTTTGTGGCAATCCATATTTTTAATCAAACTTTGCCTAATAATAAGTCCTTTTAAGTTTTTATCTTTCTTTGTGTTTCCATACCCATAAGAATCTATGAAGTAGATTGGCTGTGAACCAGCCCACTCCAAAATTGCCATTCTACTATTAGGGGATTTCACCCACTCTGCTATCTGTGATAAACATTTTGTTTTATGGTAGTTTTAAATTTGGAATTTATATATGAGCTCTCTCTTTGGTTTCGTGTAGAATTTTAACTCTAAACCTTTTTCCAATTCCATATGGATTTATTGATGTTTCTCGCCATCCTTGTGAGATTCTCTCTGAACTTCTGATTAGTGTCATTTGAAAAAATAAGTAATTGATGTTGAATAATACATTCATTTTAATAATTGCAATTGATTCTTACCAAGATAACCCCATTTTTCAAGGTCTTTTTTATTGCTTGCCTCTCTTTAATTTTGGTTTCTAAATCTGCTTTTTTATTTTTAATTTTCTTAATCCCGTCTTTATAATTTTTATATTCAATGTAGCAAACATACCTTATATTCCCCCCACCTTCTATTTTCTCCACAACAACAACCCTGAGAAGTGGATTGGGCTGAGAGATAGTGACTAGACCAAAGTCACCCAGCTGGCTTTCAGGTCTAGGGCAGGATTAGAACTCACAGTCTCTTTGTTCCTAGCCTGGTGCCTTAACCAATAGACCAAACAACTTTTAGTTCTTAAATTTAATTCCCTTTGCTGAGAGTCTGACATTTCCAAAACATCTTCTTTCTCATGATTTTTAAATTGTTGAGTTTCCTGGTCTCTTTTCAGACTCTCATATGTTTCTTTCAATTTTGATATGTCTTGAGTGTTGCTTGATACTTTTTAAATGTAGGTCCTCTTATTTCGGTTTTCAGCTGTTCAGCTGATTCCTCTAATATGTACAACACTTTATCTTGTAAACAGTGAAACTGACTGCTCATTTGCATGGACTTTTTAAACATCAGAATGATTCTGTCCAATTCTGATTTTTTAAATACCCTAGATTGTCCAGATCCTTTTGAGTCTCCATCTTTCTTCCTATATTCAGGAGACATTTTATTTTTTTATCTTTAAAGGACGAGAAAATGGTCTCCATAAGTTATAATCTTCTATGTATACATTTACTGAGAAATCACAGACTTCCCCCCCCCCACTTTTTTTAAACAAAAAAGAGAACAATTTTTCAAATGCTAATCTTGTAAATATAATATTGTCTTTGGCTCCCTCTTGTGGCTTCTATAACTCCTGCAGCAATTATACAGTGATCTGAAATATTTCAATAGAGTGACAATCTCACAAATAAAGGTGAATATACATGTCCCAGGATAATGTTGCATGATCCAATCTGGGTTGGCTAGAGAGAAGTTCCCTGAGGATGGGCTCCAGGCATGAGTCCGAAAGCTCAGAAGAAAACACCTTTGTTTGCGGTGACCGACGGAGATTGGATCCTGCAGTATGACAATCTGCTCACTCTTCATAAGCATCAATATAATCAGTGCAGATTCCTTTAACCGCCGTTCATTATATGAAAATGCATTACAATCTGTATCTAGCTTCTAATTCTTGTTGTTATTTAACCCATGTAAAAGATATACAATATGCATAAATTAGAATTCAATCACAGGAAAGAAAAGTTTACTTATCACCACAATTTTCTCTTATGGATGTTTATAGAAGTTTTAAAGTTCTCTTGAATTCTCCTTCTGTTTATCTAGCTTCCCCCACAATTGTAAATTCAACTAGAGAGGTGCAGTTTTTACTTTAAGATAAATTCCTAAGAATTTATGCTGCAGCATAGTTCAACAAACTCAGTGGTAATGGATGGGTGGGGCACAGGGTCGCATGCTCTGTGAGAAGCACTGATAAATAAGCCAATTTATTGACCGTTTGATTAAAAGATGGTAATGTGATTCCCTACCCAAGTTGTTTTATAAGAAATCTAGACTGCCTATTTTTCCTGTTGTTCTGTTATGGTCCATTCAATCAATAAATTCTTACTGAGGCCAACTGCAGTACAGAGTTGGGAATTCTCTATTCTTCAGATTCCTTCTATCGTGACGTATTAGTTCATGCCACTCCCTCCCAGGAAGCCATCCAGCCACCTGTAGCCACTGATGGCCACTGCCCATTGCTAGACTACTTCAGTTGTGACTGTTGCTATGGTGTTTTTTATGCCCCTTCCACAATCCTACAGTTGCCTCCCAGGTACCTTTTGTTGAGCATAGCAGCAAAAGCACAATCTCTTGGTTTGTATAGAGGAACCTGAGAATGAGATGGAAATGAGCGGAGCACAAAGCAGGATGTTACATTATCTATCTCTCATCTCTCATCTATCTATCTATCTATCTATCTATCTATCTATCTATCTATCTATCTATCTATCTATCGTCTGTCTCTATCATCCCTCTTTCTCTCATCTATTTTTTCATTTCATATTGCATAACTAGATAATTATTGATTGGGTAATTTATTTGCTAGCTGTGTTCATCACATATGTTTGGCTATAAGATAGCGTGCCTACACTACCAAATTTTTGAGCAGAACTTAAAATAGTTGATCAACTTGAAAACACTATCTGTATTTCCTTCTTATCAAATTGCAGCCTGAACTGACTTGGTGCTCCAAGCTATTTTCTTTTCCATGGTCACTCATAAAAATGCTTCTAGCAGAACATTTCAGAGTGAAATAAAGTTAAGTAAGAATTAAAGTTAGGTAAGTAATGGTATCTTGATATGCAATGTTTGAGCTTAGCCCTGAGTTGACTTTCTGGATAATGTTGAAAATATCCAATGCTTTAAACCATAATATTTTTTAACTATGGTGCTATACAGGTTTGTCTGATAAGTATTTTAAGTAATTTCATCTTGTAGAGAATAATGTGTGAGTCCTTTTTGCTCTCTGAGCTTGGTTATTTGCTTGCAGAATGCTTCATTACCCAACTAGGTAGCATCAGCGCAAGTGCGTGTGAGATTTGGTGCCTGAGCACACAAAGCTTTGCTCTTTTGGTTCTTTTGTTTTTCAAAAACCAAATTATTGGTGAATGAAACTGTTAAAAAAGAAAGTGAATAGTAATAGCCTATGCATGTTCAACAAGCTTACTTGTGGGCAAGATTCCACAAAATTGCAGCTGAAGTTACACTTGAAAGATCCTGTAATATTGAGAGTTCTAAAAATTTTGCAGTAATTTGAAACAGACACACTGGGTATTAGTGGCATCTGTAAAGGAAGTAAATGACAACACATTCATTATAGTACACAAATGACATAATTTAGGTATTTGCCTCAGAAACAAGCACAGATCATTTACAACTGTATAACCAACTTTTCCACTACCAATGTTTCAGATTCAATCAAAACTATCCCAAAAACATTCTGTAAAGAAAAATGGCTTACATTTTTGTAAATTTGTGCCACTCCTTGCTCCACTATAGGCTGATGTGAATGGTGTATGTATAGTATATTCAATCAATGTATGAAAATGTAAAGTTACTGCTGCAAACCATGTATGCTTTGCAATTTGATATTCTGGGAGAATGAATCTAGAAGCTAATATTTCACATTTGATACTACACATGCAGGTTTCCAAACAATTCCAGTATTCTAACACAAAGTATTTTTTTGACAAGAAAAGACAACCTTTTCCAGAAACGTTTACTTTTATTAGAACTCTTTGCATATAGTTTTAAACATGTAGTCAAATGTTTCAGTACTCTATTAAAAAAAGATTCTGCCAAATAAAGATCCAATCACGATACAGCGTGTTACAAGTTGAAATTACTCAGCGTTCTTTGATTTGGACACTATTGCCTTCACTGCCT